AACGAAATATAACATTTCCAAATTTCAATCAGACATTCATTTCTTCTTTTATAAATAGGCAGATTGTCAGTTGAAAATGAAAATCAAGAGGATGCTCCATGAAGTCAAAAGTTCATGTGAAGGATTAGATTTCTTTAAAAACTTGGGCCTTAAGAGATATCAGCCTCATAAAGGGCAGGTATTTGTATATGGTCTATTCCTTGACATGCCTTACACTCCAAAGACATTCCATGAATATTTTTCTTCTGAGTAAACACACTAAATGGTGGCACATTTTCTTTGCAGTACAGCCTCACCGGACAGGCCCCCGAAGGGGGTGTACCTCCATGGGCAGCTTCCTCTTCTACTGACCTAGCTTGCCTAGCTTAGCTAATCTAAATTAAATTATCTTTCCATGATCACCTAGTGATGATGAAGAGAGCAAATTACAATTTTAAATTCTTTCCAGGTTTCAATGAACAAGGAAGTGTGTGTGTGTGTGTGTGTGTGTGTGTGTGTGTGTGTGTGTGTGCAGGGGTGTGTGGGGTATGTGTGTGCATGATGGATGCATGCATACCGGTGATGGCAAAGCACACTGAAGCCTGCAGGACTAATAGATATAATTTAAGCTTTTGAATTAAATATGAAATGCCTAGAATAACTTATGGTGATGATCCTGTATACTTACACGAATTTTCAAGGAGTAAAAAATGCCTTACAGGCTTTATTTAATTAATCTTTGCAGTAGCCACAAGAGTCACAGGATTCAGGCATTATTATTCACATCTCTGGACAGGATGGAAGGCAAGGCAAAAAGTGGGGAAAGATATACTGTCATATCTATTTGTTCTACCAAGTATTCAAAAACTAGAGACCCAAAGTCTAAGGCAAATCTCATACACTGCTAATGCTGGCTTCAGTTACTAAACTGAATAGACACGCCTTCCCTCAGCAGCGATGGATGTTCTTCCTAACCACTCTTATTTTCCATTTTGCTTCCTTTCCTTCTGTTCTAGCCAAGATGACTGTTGCTCACTTGGGTACAACAGCAAATGTTGTCCTTGCCAAGATTAATCCAATTATATTTTGTCGTTTCCATATAATCTATGAATCTTAACACCCCCTGCTTTTATTTTTAAATTCTAGTTTAGCTTTACATTTTTCAAACTAGCACAAATAATGGAAAACTCTATCTTAGCAATTTCAGATCAAATATTTTGCTTTACTTGTATTTTTATCTTCCATTAACTCACTGATACCATATTTAAGAACTTTCTAATTGCCTCTTCAATCAAGAATCTGATAAAAAGAATATTACTTTGTTTCTTTTACCATTTTATTTCCTGTTTCTTTAAATTAAACAATGAATTCACTTAAATCTCGAGTGTTTTGTTTAAAGTGGTTCACTTCTACAGCTCAAGAAGATCTTTCTGTGCTACTGCGCAAGCAACTAGATTTGACATCTGACTTATCTAATTTGCCAAAATGTCCTATCATATCCTTCCATTTCTTCCACTACGATGGGGTCATTTCTACTGCCTCTTACAAACACTCAGCAGAGACAGGCTTGCTGTGTTTTGAGACAGGACTCATTCCTTTCTGTCTTTGTCCTGTTCAGTATATCAATTTTTCTTCTCAAATCAATAAATTCTATAAAATAAATACTGTTCTTAAAAATATTGTTCCAAATAGTTCAAATATTTACATATAATATGGGCATGAAGACTATTATTTGTGTGAACTATAAAACATCAGATTGGCCTGGGTCTGGAAAAGCCTGGGATAAAACCGGACTCTCTGAACATAACGGACAATGAGGAATACTGAGAACTCAAGAACAATGGCACTGGGTTTCTGATCCTACTGCACGTACTGGCTTTGTGGGAGCCTAGGCAGTTTGGATGCTCAACTTACTAGACCTGGATGGAGGTGGGGGGTTCCTTGGACTTCCCACAGGACAGGGAACCCTGATTGCTTTTCGGGCTGGGGGGGGGGGCTTAATTAGGGGAGGGGGAGGGAAATGGGAGGTGGTGGCTGGGAAGAGACAGAAATCTTTAATAAATAAATAAATTAAAAAAAAACATCAGATTTATATTTACCCTTTCAATTTGATAAGGACTCCAGCTTACTACGCCAAGAGCAAACAGTCTTGCTTGGCTCAGAAACAGTAGTACACAAAATGCCCAACTAATAGTGCCATAGATCTATTATGGTGACTGAGAATTGGAAGACTGAGGAAAACAAATACAAACATCAATATAATTTGCTCACTGACATCTCAAGAAACTAAACTGTCTGTAACTGCAAGGGTACACCAAGCAGACCTATGGCACCATTGGCCATAGAAGCTTTTCACTAGAAATCTATCATATCAGTAAAGAAAATACCTGTATTATTTAAGACAATCTATTTCCTATATTAAATTCCACACTTTAAAAAAGCATTTTCTTTAGAACTCTGTAAATGTGGTGAAATCTCAGGCCAGGGAAAAAGACAGCCCCTTCTCTCTAAGACTACTTCATAATAAGACTCTCTCATGTCACTTTGAATGTCTTTGTGATTATACCTTTCAGTGGTAGAATTTCTGTAAGATGTCACTTTAGTCAAACTAAACAGTATAAATAGATTTCACAGTAATTATTCCAATGTAAAAAATACAAAATTTCTGAATTGTTCTCTATATTAATTTTCATAGGAAAACCTAAATACATATTTATTTTGTTTATCTTAGGATAATCTGTCTATATAGAAGTTCTGTTTACTAAGTCTACATACATATTTGCAATAAAAAATAGGGAGAAATCTATAGACTAACTGAAGCCTACTGGTCTCCAAAAGTAAGCTCTCTGATGGTATTTGGACATAATATTTTACTTAAGTTTTTACTATTTTACTGTTCTGATAGCTAGGATTATTTTACAGGAATGACCTAAATGTCTCCTGAGATGAGGGGAAGGAACAAGAACACAAAGCTGGACCCCTAAGGATGTAACTACTGCTACAGGTACCTGCTCCTGCACTGTTTGCTTCTTTATCGATAGAGTTCTCAAAATGCTTCCACTTCATTAGGATAAAAAGGTCTATCACTGTATTGCTTACACTATGTGTCATAAAATGCTATGTTTTTTAAAGGAAGCAGAATTTACTAAAAACAGCTTAAGTGATGTGGGATTCCCCATTTGTATGCTATGAATATGTTTTATTACCATTGGTTAATAAAGAAGCTGCTTTGGCGTATGGCAGGGCAGAATATAACAAGGTGGGAAATCCAAGCAGTGGGAGAGGAGGAGGAAAGATGGCGGAGTCAGAGAGATGCCATGTAGCTCTGAAGGAGCAAATTGCTAGAACCTTACCAGTAAGCCATAACATCATGGCGATATACAGATGAAGAGAAATGGGTTAATTTAAGAAATAAGACCTAGGTAGAAATATGCCCAAGCCATTGGCCAAACAGCATTGTAATTAATAGTTTCGGTGTGATTATTTGGGTCTGGGTGGCCAGGAAATGAAGGTGCAATCTCTGCTTATACATAAGTGTTAAAATTTTAAGCAAAGCAGTAAATTAATTTCCTTTTTCTTACTAGCATCCAGAAGATTTACAATGATCATTTGTTTATATTTGTTCTGAAGTGGTAAAAGAATGCTGAAAAGTTGGGAATAAAATATAATTGAATCTGTAAGGAGAGGTAATGCTGACTTTTGCAAAGGTCATGAGTCAGACTGCTGAAAGATCAACTCTGTCCACATCCACCTTTGGAATATTTAGACCACTCTAGAGAATATGCTTTGCCCTTAGGAGGTCATATTATGTGCTAGGGAGGGAAATGATGTCCAACAATGCTGCTATTAGGAGCTAGAAACACGCTCAATAATGAGCTGCAAAAGCAGTCACATGAATGTGATTTTCAGTGGAAGATTTGCACACCAGAATAAATACTTCTATAAAAATTAATACTTTTACTACATTAAAATGAAAAAAAATAAATTTGTTAAATTTAATATAAACTCAACCACTTTGTATCCCCATATAAAAAAACTATAAGTAACAACAGCACCATAGTATTAATAGCCTGTATAGTTGAGTAGATTTTAACTGTAATCTACATGGCCTACTCAAAGTTTAAAACAGCAGTAAACAGCACAGGCTTGTAATAAAACTGAACTAAAAGCAAGAAAATGAAAAAAGAAAGGAAAATGTTTGCAGTATGTCTCCACAGCAGTAATAAATAATATTAGGGATACGCTTGCTACTAGATTAATTTTCCATGGGAATATTAACAGTTCTTGCTATTTTGTCCCAAACAGCTATGTTGGTTTGAATGGAAATTTTCCATCTGAAGACTCAGAATGTAGCAAAAAAAATAACCTGCAGGTTAATTCAGCTGATCTCTGTTAAGTGGGTCTAGAAAGTAGAAGGTGCCACAAATGCAAATTAGTGTGGTTAACTGCCACAGCTGAGCAGAATCAAGTCTAAAAATGTTTAGCAAAAGCAGACTAATAACTAGATCACAGAAACAAGGTCATGACGGCCCTGGGTCCTTTTCTTTTCCTAAAGGATGAAACAGTTTTGTAATGCTGTCATTCCAGATGTTCAAACAAGAGTTTAGAATTACTCAGATACTAGAGAGACAAGAGAGACAGACAGTCTCATATTTTTACTGTTGGCTTCCCACTAGCACATCTAAATGAGAACATGATACAAACAGGGAATGTGTTGAATTGAGTGAACTTATTTAGGATACAATCTACACACCGATGACACAAGACAACAAATGCACAGTACTGGAGTTTTTACTCCCAGGTTCAAACAACTGCAGATTCTGCAGTGGAGTAGTGTGTCTGTCCTTTTGGCTCGTGTATACTACTTCTGCTACCCTCAACACATTAGATGCACAGGTAAAGTTTCTCAGCGAGCTGTTAAGGGTGGAACTGCAGCAACAAGGTGAACAAAATGCAGATGTCTATGTGCTGAAACACCAGAATGCAGTGTGAAGAGCAATGAAGACTAAGGCCTGGCTTACCTCTGGCGTTCCAAGAGCATGTTCTCCAGCTAACAGCAACATGCTCAGGCCTCCCATCTGAGTAGGATCTAAAGATCAAAAACGAAAATCAACTCAGAAACATGAAGAACACACAACCATACAGAATAAAAAAGGATATTCATAAAGGCAGAAATCCAAACTACCCACATATAAATTTTATGGAAAAATAACAAAATTCATTCTTAAATAACCTGGTACATGTGTACTTACTGCACATACGTTAAAGAGCCCCTTTCTTTTCTATATTTTGCTTTTTTTTTTTTTTTTGGAAACAGTGTCTTACTATGAAGCCCGGCTCTACTACGCTCATGCTCTCCCTGCCTTAGTCTTTTAAGGGCATGGATAATAGGCATGACCACTACACCAGGCCTTTAAAATGCTACTGCTCTACCCCCATTCCAACACAACACTTTCCCCAACAGTACAGCTGTTACCTACCAAACTTCCTTTCTCCCAAGGCTTCTTTCCAAAACTGAGGTGTTTTGATGCAATTTTTTTTTTAATCCAAGCATACTCATGCTTGTCTTCTGAGAAGTTTGAGACTTAATCTGAAATTGTTATTTCTGCTATGCGCAATCGGGTTTGGTCAAAAGAATTAGGCTATCAGGGAACACAGAACAGAGAAATTTCACACTGGCCTCCAAAAAAAAATACTCTCCTTAAAGCTTCCAAACTAAAATAAAATAAAAATAACAGATATGCTGTAGACATTATAGATCTTCAGGCATATCAGGCTCTTGCTAAAATAGCTTGAAGATTAAAATTAATGTTTATGTTAGCAAACTTTATTTTTAATTTTTTAAAATTCATTTTATATTCTCCCACCCCTCCTCTCCCCACTGCCTTCGCCTCCTCCCTCCATCCACTCCTCCAACAGGTAAGGGCTCCCATAAGGAGTCACCAAATTCTGGCACATTAAGTTGGGACAGGACAAGCCCCTCCCCACTGGTTAGCCAACTTTTGCTTTAATTCTTTCAACAGTATACTGACGCAGAAAGATAACTAAAGAGTCCGGTGGTAGATCTGTGCTCCAGGTTCTATTTCCATGAGAGACCTTTACTCTTTAAGGCTGTCTCAAATTTTAAAATTGAAAGCACCAATGAAAGAGCAGATGGGAATGCACCCGTCTCTGGTGCACACAGGTCTCAAGGCATGCATTTTAGCTTTAGGATGAGGATATGTAAGACTGCCTGAAGACATTTCTGTCTAAATGTATGCCCTGAAGTAGAGCTTTGTTCAGTCTGCCTTGAGATCTCAGGAATCAACTTTGATCACACCTTATATATAAATTTTTTAACTGAGAAAAGGTTCTGAGGTAGACATAAACACAGCCCCCCCCACACACACACACAGAGAGAGAGAGAGAGAGAGAGAAGAAGGAGGAGGAGGAGGAGGAGAAGGAGGAGGAGGAGGAGGAGGAGGAGGAGGAATAAAAGATAAGGAGGCTATGAGGTAATCAGAGAGAAAAACATGTCATCAAATGATGGTATGTTAAGAAAGCCAAACACTGGTAGGCAGCCAGGCAGGAGGACACACAAAGAACACAAACACTGGCTAATCTGGTAAAATAAAGGCCTGCAGTGCTTTTAAGTGTCTACTTCCCATTAAACCTTAACTTTAAGAACTACTGTGCCTGATAAAATAGATGCATACATTTCTTTAAAAGTATAAGTCAAGAGGGGAAATGAATTTAGAGGAAAGTAAGTGTTAAGGATGCTTGAGAGTGCAACTTTTGCAGCTGGCATGCTAGGAACCAGGGCTGAGTGATAGCATTCAAGAGATAAAAATGTGCCACTCAAATTACAAAGTAAAATAGGAATACGGCTACATGATAATCCAAGTCATATACCAAATGTGACTTCGTAAGAAGTTTGTTATTCATCCTAAAGGACACGCCAAGAAACTATCATTTTTCTATCGCTTACATAATGCTATTTAAAACTATCAAAATACATTCACATAAGTAGAACACTTTGCTTTTATTGAAAGTTTGTAGTATATCAAAGTCTACATATTTTTCCTTCCTTGAAAATCATATATTTGACAAAGTTGGGTTTCTCTAAATTGTGAAATGTAGAGTGCCAAGGACCACTAAACAAATAAACAAGAATAAAACAGACTAGATTCTGCATTAAACTGACCTTTAAAATTCCTTTTGTATTGCCTTTGTTCAGATAGCTAAACACCAGTTTTTAATCACAGGTAATTTGGTTCACTTTCATCTTGTTGAAAGGGGCATAACTAGCAGTGAGCGAGCTCTGGTCATGAAATTCGAACACATGACACAGGTCTTTATTACTTGAGGCAATGCTATCCAGGTGTTTTTCTTTCCTGTATTTTGCTTCAAGGAATATTACTTTTTAAAGCTGAATTACACATTTCTTAAGTCTAGATTCTACTTCTCTTTTTATAGGTAAAAGGTAAATTAATAAATGTCAGAAACATTGTTACTAAAAGATGTATTTACACACTTTCTATAATTTACATACAATTCTTGTTTGGTTTGTGATGAACCATCAAAGAAAACTCAAAATGAAAATTCTACACGAAGTAACAGATTTAGAATTGAGAGAATAGCAATAGACGCTAAATGGCAATCAAAGAGAGTTTCGACTTTAGCCATCAATCCATCTACTCTTGGTCTCAGACAAAACCACCATAATCTGGGAAGTCCAGACACTTCACAAAGACCGGTACCAAGTGGGCTGAAGCTAGCACTGTGCAAAATGACAGCTAACACAGGAACAGCTCTGCTTTGGGTTTTCAGGACACATGTTGAGAACTGTTCTGGAATTGCATTACACACACTGCACTCAATCACCTGAATACTTTGTTTCCCAAAGATATGTCCATACGTTGCTTCATTCTTCAGGCATTCATCCTATATCACATGTACTTTTCATATTATGAGCCCAACATTGAACTATGAAGGCTTGTGCAAACTACTGGGCATTTAAAAGAATTTACAATCACAGTATGGCTCAACTGCATCCCTACTAACCTTCCAATATTGTAAATGGTTTAGGACTCTGAAAAATAGTTTCTTGTAATATGGCATAGGAACTCAAGCTCAGTACGAACTTCCCTGCTTTTGTCTTATTCAACCTCCCAATTTCTTCCTGGCAAAATCCTCTTTTGGTTACACTCAATAGGAGGAAAGATCTAGCCATTCTGGGCAAAAATGTAAATGTTTTATTTCATGGTCATAAATGCATTAGCATTCCTTAACACCCAAAGAGTAAAATAGCAAATGGCACCATCTGGAATTTTAAGTTTGCTAAAGGTGAACATTAATGGGGATCGAAGAAGGGGTAGGGTGGGGGTTCTCTTTAAGGTTCATCTCAGATTTGGATGGATTTGTTCATGGATAAGATACTCAGATGATCTAAGTAACTGTGGGTCTTTAAATACCCATAACTCCAGTGCTTACTCTGCTTAATAGTTGGGAGGAGGTGTGTGTGAGAGAGAAGGGAAGAGAGGGAGGGCGACAGATTTATTTTGTTAGTATAACATTTCCTGACAGGCTCCAAACTGCGGTGACGTTTCCATACTGCCAATATTAGGATCTCCACAGCATGTACACTTGGCTGCATGTCTTCAGTTCTTTGTATACCATGCCCTAATACCTCATGATAGGCTACATATTTGCCAGAGTTTCATACTGGTCAAAAATTTTGGTCTTCTCAAATTTGTATTATTTGTTTAAAACACTTGGTGCATTGTTCTGTCCTTTAAAAAGAACAGGTGCAAATTGTGGAAACTTACCAGCCATTCCAAAGTTAAGCTGAGGAATTTCTTCTGTCTTTGCCTTCTTGGGGGTTGGCAAATCTCTTGAAGAGTCAGATGGGAAGGCCCAAAGTTTCTTCCGTGGATTGACAGTGGGTGTTGGCGATTTTACAGGCTTGTTTGTAGTAGGGCACCATCTGTAGCCAGGATTTGCTTTCATAAATGCATCTTTATACTATAAACAAATGAGGGCTTAATTAACATCCAGACCCAGAAGTTCAACAACATTTACCTTTTCCCTCCCTCATTCAGATTATGACTGAGGAAACCACATTCCATGATTTCAGTGGCTCTGCTTAGAGAAGATGACAGTGTCACGCACCAAGATCTAGAGACAGGGTGGAGTTATCTAACTTGTGGGCCGAGAATACGGGAATCAGACACTCAGAATGTTCTACTCTTTTTGTTGTTCTTGTTCTTAAAAAGTTGTCTGACTTTGGTGGCAGAGGAGGCTTTTGTATTAGAAAGAGCCCAGGGCTCTGAGGGTGGAAAAGGCGAGGATAAAACAAGCTGCAGGCATTTAGCATAGAGCAGTGTCCTCTGTGGGCCTTAAAGGACAGCACAGCACCATCTATGCTTCGGGTCACTGTCAAAAGTGCACAGCACCAATTTCTTCTCTTAAAGTTTTAAAAATTGTGTGTACATGTGTGAATTTTTTTTTTCAGATAGCTGTTTTGGTATCACTTGCATGCATGGTGCCTATGGAGGCTACAAGAGAGAAGTGGATGCCCTGGAACTGGAGCTAGAGATGATTATGAGCTTCCATATGAATGCTTGGATTCAAACCTCAGTCCCCATCTCTACAACCTCTGATGTGACATGCTGTAATCAATCCATCACAAGCTTTAGATTTACACTCACCCTTTTTTATGTTGCTTCCTCCCTTTATCCCTTCTTCTAAATCCACTACCTCTTTCCTAACGTCCATACCTTCTCAGAGCTATATTGTTTAATTAAAAAATATTTCCTATATATTCTTTAAATATCACTATCAGATTATTTTATTAGCACATTTTTGAAACAATTTGGTTATATAATCTGGTTCTGATTTCACAATCCTCTGCTTCAGTCTCCCAAGTACTGAGGTTATAGGCGTACACCCCCATGACCATCTAACACAATTTTTTCATCCTCGCAGGCTTACCTTTTACAATGGTAATGTGTTCTAAGCTCCAAGTTGCTTTTAGACAAGAGGTAAAAGGTACTATTTTGAGGAAAGGTATAAGGAAAAAATACCTAATCTAAGCAATGCTCCCCCTATATAAATAAAAGCTATAATGTAGGTAATAATGTAGTATTAATTAACAATGAATGATATTTATCCCAATGCTATCTTAACTCATTTTCTGAAATTATTTTATGTATAACATATAAATTTACCTATTAACATATAGGGGTGTGTGTGTAAAAAAAGCACATAGGCCCCTAAAGTCTAGTAATATTTTTCTCTTTTAATTAAAAAAGATTTCTTTTATTTGAATTATGTGTATGTGTCTCTGTGTGAGTATTTGCACACTGGAGGCGTCAGTAACCTGTAGTTACAGATGGTTGTAAGCAGCCCAGTGTGGGTGTTGGGAACACTAGAACACAAGAACTCTTATAACTACTTAGCCACCACTCTAGTTTTTAGTTCTATTTTTTTGTAAAAATAAAGAAGTAAAATAAGACACTAGGTCGGCACCAAATGAATTTACAACTGTATAGCAGAATGAATTTGGAAACATCAAAGTTGACATAAGAAGACACACTGCCACAGTGAATTCTTGTAAATGGGGAATTTACATATTAAGTTGAAGCAGACAAATAACCTTGCCTGCTGTCTGATGGTAGAAAGTGATAAATGGCAGGCGGGGTGAAAAGGCAAGGAGCAGACACATGCATCATTATCATGCCTCAATAAAAGGTGCATGGGGAAGGTGTGCCAGTAACTGAACGTTCAAAGAAACTTACTAATAAATTTATCATGAGAAATAAAATCATCTTTTTTTGGTAGGTAAAATTTTCTAAGCAGAAAGCACCAGCTGTGAAAGAGACTGGATGGCGTTAGTACCCGAATCTCTTGCTCCTTGAGAGTGCCCTTCTCTTCATATTCAGTTTTTTGACACATCCTTCACTAGTAACATTGCTAGGGATCACTTAATGATCTGTTTCAGTAAAAATCAAGTATAATGGAAATTATACTGTCATCCTGATAAATTATCAGTTGATACTAATGAAGGCCGCCTTACGCTAATTTATGATAGTGCTGAAGATAGCATAAAGCACCAACAATCAGCACTTACAATCATTTTCATCCTTTTGTCTCTATCCTCTGCACCTTCACTGCAAAGACACTCTTCTTAGACACTGGAAACAGAAAGAGGGGGAATCAAGCGGAGTCCCTCCTTTCATGCTGCTTCCAATTCACAATTTACCTCACAAGCATTTCTGTTTACACATGGTCTACAATCCTTGCCCTAACTCAAGCATGAAAAATGGTTTTTGCGACGGGTCTACAGAACAGCAAGTTTCCTATGAGTGCAAGAGAAAGGCCTGGAATATGGGGGATGTTTTAGACAATTTACTATGAAGGATAATACTCTAACTAAATCACAATATGAATTGTGCAGACTCTTAAACTCAATATAAATGTTCAATACACACACATAACATTTTTATTTTTTAGCTTTTGTTTGTTGTTGGAGATTGAACCCAGAGCCTCAGTATGCTTAGTACCCATCTTATCGCTGAAATACAACACTAGACCCCTAGTCAAGTATATACTGATCAGAAGGGCTAAAATTGTGAATGACTGAGGCAAAAAAAAACCACATAAATTTATCTACAGAAAACACCAAACCAATACAAATTATGGACTGCAAGAAAGTTCGGAGGCAAGAGCAGCCTCGGAGAGCAAAGATGCCTGCATGTCCTTGGAACTTGGTTCTTCATCAATCATTTGATCTGATTCAGCTTTTCAGAGACACAGGAAAAGCTTGTCATTTGTTAGGACAAGGTTACTAGAAAAGAGATTACAAAGGAGGCAGGGAAAAGAAGTAATGCTGGGAGACCTGGTATACAGTCCGGAGCAAATAGCCAAGTGTAATAATTGCCATGTAGGTCAACCAGGTGAACAAAATCCATCATCACAGGAGCGAAAGGCCTCAAGAGATAGGCCCCATCTATCCAGACATCCAGGGCCAGGTTGGAGGGGAGAGGGAAGCTCATTTATCTTCCAGGAGCATCAATCACAGATTATTGATCCTAAGATTTTGATGAAAAATTCTCACACATATCTAGACTTTTGCTAAAATACTGATTTTCAAAATTCTATGAAAATCAAAATTCACCTTATGGCCTTCAACTTTTCCTACAAATTTCCAGCTGATTAAATAATCTATTGTAAATTTGCTTTACAGAGAGTTGTGCACTGATAGAAGGCATTCAGGAATGCTGACACTCTTTTCCTGGCCCTAACCACTATTGTATTTTGTTAGAATAACAAAAAAGAAATTGCTGCTTCTTTTGTTATTCAGTACTGTCACTAAATGCATACCCTCTGTCACCGTTTTTTACCTCCTTTATATCTGACAATGGCATTATTATATAACAAAAGACAATAATCTATTATGTTAATGCTTTAAAATGGGGTCTCAAACAATAAATGCTTTCCAGATCATTGCATAAATGGAAATTTGATCTACAATGTACCTTAATATTAATGAAACATTTTCTCCATTTATTTAATTTTAGTTGCATTTGGAGTACTAACTCAGTGTTCACTAGTGTTTCTAGTTATTATTTACAGTCTAGATCTGCAAAATGAAAAGAGATGGCGATCCTGGTGAGATTCTAGAATAGACATTCTGTGAACACTTGAATAACCAAAGACAGATTCTGCTGCTACAAATATATGAAGTAAAATCTACCAGATCAGTTAACTGGTTATACAGAAAATTATCTGAAATTTGACCAAAGAGTCCTAACACACATTTTTTTCTTATAATCATATCCACCATGAGGAGCTGAAGGAACTCCCTCCATACTTAGTTGTTAGAGCTGGGCCTTCCCTCAACAGCAGGCAGAAATTACAACATACAACCAGGTCAGAGTTAAGCAGAGCATGGTGCTAACTTCTTCAGTAACTGGTGTGTGTGTGTGTGTGTGTGTGTGTGTGTGTGTTTGTGGAGGCGGGGGGGGGTTAGTCTGTACAGAGCACGGGGAGAAGTGCTGCTAATCTATACAGAGTTGAGGAGGGGGGAATATGAATCTGTACTTCCTTCACAGAAACCAAGACTTGTCATGAATAGAAAAAGAAAAATTGTATTGCTACTTCATCTTTTGAAGATATGCTTCTTTTAAAATCAGAAAGAGAAAAGTACAAACTATATACTAATGTTCTAGTCAACTACATGCCACAATAATGGTCTCCTAAGACTGCAGAGCCTTGTGCAGTAAAAGGTATTAGTTGAGTAAATAAACCATGATGCTTGCACAATAACCAAAATGCCTCAGGACACATTCTCAGGCTATCCCTGTGGGTAAATTATTCTCACTTTAATAAAGGGAAGGATTCAGATGGCAAATAAATGTAAAGCATTCATATTCACACATGTGCTGAAAGAATGTCATGTGTTTAGTAAAATATTCAAAATTGAGGGTTCAAAGTTGAAAAGTTATACCTGAAGTAGTTTTCGAAACGACCCGGGCTTGGGGACCAGAGGCTTCTTTGTGTCTAGTTTTGTATCACTACCAACTACCATAAAATCTGACTACTGAAACTTCTTAATAAGCATTGGCTGACTGAACTGACATTCCAATTAAGGCTGCAATATTAACAAAAAAGGCTTCAGCACGATTACATGTACTTTAATGTAACTATGAAACACTAAGTAAATAAGCTGAAAGAAATAACCACCAGAGACCAATTGTGTGATAATTTGGGAAGTAGCTGAATCGATTAGACTATGGAGTAGAAATGAGACAATATTTTATATGAGTAACTATAAACAAGGCAAGATGCAACGTGGGACATTCTGGTTTCCACTTGTAGGCTGCAGGGGGCTACCTAAATAGATTTCATTATAGTGCCACAATGGCAAATATTGTGAAGCTAATTAAGTAATTAATAAAAAATTTCCTGTGCAAAAATAATAGGTCCTCCTCTTAAAAGTGGCCACCTATTGGGTTTGTAAATTAGCTGTATTTAAGAAGAGGCAAACACTATATTGGCAATATGCTGCATGTTGTCCAAAATCAAACTCAAGCGTTTAATTATAGGAAGCACATGCAGCTCACTGTGAGGCTCCAGATAATTGTTTACTTTATCATATAAGCATGAGTATGAAAGGATATAAACCTATTTAATGAGAAGAGTTTATTGTTAATTACTGTTAGGCTTGTGGAAATCTATTGGAACATTTAAAATCACGTAAGTTGCTGTAATTGATTTTAAATTTTATAGATGCCCAGCATAGTTAAAAGTCTATCTTGAACAATTAGTAAATTCCTAAAGCCTTCTGCGATCATTAATTACACAGCAACACTGAATCATTTACTCTGGATTCAAATTTCCCTGTATGTTTTTAAAGAAATTTTAATGTTGGAGGATTCCTTATTAAACAACTTAATAAAACCATGTCAACTGAAGGCATTATTTTTCCACATACTGAGATGTCTAATAAAATATCTTGAAATTACATTACTTTATCCCCTGCTGGTTCATTTTTTTCCCCTCAGAAGTTAATGGGGTGGCAGGGATTTTCATGAATGAAAATTTTTTGCAAGTTGAAACTCTAAGAAAATAATATTAGAACTATTCCTTTCAGACTTAACCACAATACAGTACCTATGCCTCATTTAGAACTAAATCCACTCATAATAGATGTGGACAATGAGCGTTATTGATCCCATATTAATGTAGAAACAAATATAGTACAGAACTTTTTGAAGACATTTAGTTACTGCTATCATTTTGGAATAAATGTGCCACCTTTCTTAATATTCTTCCCATGTGGAAATGTTTCTCACCAATTATTATTGTTCACAGTTTTTGTGAGCATGCATATGTCACAGTACACCCTGTTCTATTGTCATTCATCCGTATATTAGTTTTAAATCTTCATGTTGCACTATTTTTCAGAACAGAAACAAGTCAAAGCATCTCTCTTAACAGTTGTGTTTACAAAAAATTGTTTTTATTCAAAACACAACAGAGTTTAGAAGGCATACAAATCTTTGTCCAACTTTCTTATTGTGGTAATTGTTTTAAAAATCTGAGACCACACACACACACACGCACAAGCACACACACACACTAGTTATTTAACATCATAACGTGATCATAATATATTCCTGTGATATGATAAGAAAAACCGAACCTGAGGTTGTCATCTTTACAATCGCATTTGATGACAACAGAAGATGACAGTGTCAGCAATGGCTGCTGCAGATTTGCTGTGGAAGAGTTACAGAACTGGGTGTCCATAATCACTGTCACACCTTGTCCTTGCAACTTACCTCCTTGGCCATGTCTGTATATTTCTGCTTTTCCTTTGGATCAAGAACAGCCCACCAATCAGCTAGTATCTTGGTAGCACCTCGGTTATCAAGCTTTGGGTGTTCCTGTCGGACTAGAGAGCGATGTCGCTTGCAAAATAGAAGAAATGCATTCATTGGTCTCCGAGCTCGCTGCTCTGGTGACTCATCATCTTCAGTTTCACCAACATCTTGCTCTAGGCCATCCGCCTCAAGAAGATGAACCTATCACCAACCAAAGCAAAAGTCATATATATACTTAACACAGCTCAAACTATTTTGATTTAGCAATCGGTTTTTGTTTTGCAATTGTATTTTTTCTTAGCTCTACTTAAACATCTAAGAAACTGAAAAAGTAATTTTTTAAAAAATCATTGACTACTCTTGGTGGATGATAACTAACTTACATGTGTCCTGTTTAGTTTCTATGGCAATCTGTGTTGTATTTCTATTACACCATGTATTGCATTGTGTTGATACTGCTTACCTTTTTTCTCTCACTAAAGAGTGAACCATTTGGGGATAAAAGTCTTTTATTTACCTTTATAACTACAGAGGCCAACTCATCTGGTATTAACATTTAGCCAATTGCTAAGTGAAAAAAAATATTATTTTGTGGTTTATGGGCCTCAAGATTAATTATATCCACATAAAGTACATATATATTAGCTCTTTCTGCTCTTCAAAAAGTGGTACTGAAGAAAGTTAATAACATGAGAAAGTTTATCATGAAAGCAAATATAATTAAAAGCAAATATACAAAACACCCAGACTTTTGCACATGACACAGAAGAGCTTCTTACATAAAGTATTTAACATAATTGTTTACAAGAACTTCATAAAGCATCTTTAATCCTGTAAACATCAGTCTTATCTTCCAAGATGTTAGGGCAATAAGGATAAATTCCCATAGGCTTAAGCAGTCACCTTATTTTTAAAATCTTTCTTTTCTAAGCACTCTGTTATCACTGCCCAATGTCTGCAAGGACTTCCATACATACTGAATCTGTCTACTCCCTGCCCTTGTGAATCCAGTCATTCTCAGGCCTGGTACACTTTGGCCTATGGTCTAGTCTTTCTCCTCTGCTTCCTGTAATGCTTCCAGCAAATGAGTGCTATACTACATTCCATGAAGCACATCTGTGATCGCGGAATCTCAGAAAATAGTGAGACTGCAGTATTTCTAAAACTGAAGAATAATTCTGTGATTTTCCTAGAAACAAATGCAGTCGTGTACAGAAATCCAGATTGTGTAAGTTCATGTCTTTCATTGCTTGTTCTACAGTCAAAGCCAAGAAGGCTCAAGGTAGTCATCAGTCTGTATTACACAGAAAGGCAGCAGTTCTGATACTCAGTAGACTGAACTCTCTGGGGCCTTGTTAAAAAAAAAAAGTTTGCTAGGCTTTGAGTTTCTGATTCTTTGGCTCGGAAGTGGGACCTAAAAGTTCATATCTCTAGCCAATTCTCAAGAAGTGCTAGAACCAAAACTAGACGGCAACTGTGCTCTTTTATACAATATTTGCCAGGCAACAGCTAACAAAACTGTAGAAGGAAAATATTTATTCAAATTTACCACTTTTAAAAATTATTATTAGAGTGTATGTGTTTGTGTGTATGATAAGAGGTTGGTACCCTGACACAGCATGCTTGTAAAGGTCAAAGGACAACTTCATTGAGTTGGTCCTCTCCGTCAATTTTTATGTTGCCAGGTTTGCATGGTAAGTTCCTTTACCCTCTGAGCCATCTTACCAGTCACAAGTTACTACTTTTAAGTAAATATTGCAAATATAACAAATTGGCCATCAATTATGATCAAATAAATAATAAAGTCCTGAAACTATGGCTGACTTGAAAATAAAGAGTACAGATTTTTTTCTTCATTTTATATATATAATTACTAGCAGTTAACTGAATTTTCAAAGGACATTTATTTGGTATTTTGAAACTATGAAGCTAAAGAAAAGATAGGAATAAAATTCATTATGTAAGTACATATAGACAAATAAATTACAAAGCAATGCGCTGATAACCTCTTGTAAATAAAGGTGTTGAAAGCTGAATCAGAACATGTTGGCTGATTAGCTGGAAGGTGTGGAGAAGCAAGAACTGGGGCCTGAAGCTTCATTGGAACATCCACACATAGTTCTACGGTACAAGAAAATGATAATAAGGTTTGTCAAGTAAGGAAATAAGAAATATGGACCATTTCAGGAATAATGTGCTATGCCATGCTGATAAGTGGGCATTTAAACCCATACACCAGCTACTGATTTGAAACAAACTGTCACAAAAAAATCCTTAACTACTACTAATGTTATAGCTATTTCATTAAACTAATCAAATTAAAAGTGAGCAAATTTGTAAATCAAAGAAAATGAAGATAAAAAACCAGCGGACTTTAGTTTACCAAGCATCTCTTAAATACAGATACCTAAGCTAGATACAATGATATGATGGTTCTGTCAACGGGACAGGATTTAGAATCACTATAGAAACAAATCTCTGGACATCTCTGTTTAAGGACTTTCTTAGGTTAGGTTAAATGAGATGGAAAGATGCACCCTAAAATTTGGGTGGAGCGATTCTGAGCTGTAATCCCAGACTGAATAAAGAAGGAAGGGAGCAGAACACATCTAATGCTCTCGTTACTGTGAGCTTGGGAGAGCTGCCTCCTACCACTGCTGCTGTGTTTCCCTTGCTACGACACACTACATGCCCTGGAACTTGTGTTGCTTTTGTCAGGTGTTTTGTTGCAGTAACAAGACAAGTACCTAAAATAAATGTAGAGCCTTGAGTAAATTTCCGAAGCAAGAGACATTTGTATTTTAAACAAAGAGCTGCTGCTGGTACTGCACACAAGTTCTTTTGAATAAAATCATAAGCAACCAAACCTTGAGAAGTCAATTAAAAGTTTACTTCCAATGTCTAGAAAAAAAGAGATAGCAGAAATCCAGACAAGAGGAACAGGAATAGGATATGAGAACAGAAATAATATTCAAGATAAAACCAAGAGTGATTGGCATTTAAATGGATTTGAAAATTGAAAAATGATCCTGGGAAAGGCAGAATAAATAGTGATGGATAGCTTGCATTTGAAGTAGCTATTGTTAGCTCGGTGGACACCTGCCAGTGGGATAATGATCGAGTTATAAATGAGCAAAATTTCTAAGAATAAAGGGGGGACAGGAACATTTCTAAGACAGAATAAAAGGATCTAATGACTTTAATCCTTCACTCAGCAACTATTTACTGGGACTTGCCATGCTCCAGGCCCTGTTCTAACAGAGCAGGGAATACAAAAATCCCTGCCCTTGTTAAGGAGGGAGGTGACATGACCGGCCTTCCATTTTCAAAGGATCCGTGTGACTGCTTTCTGCAGACTAGACAATACAAAAGAAGCATGGAAGCAGGAAGATGGGCAGGAATAAAATAATCTCTGCTACAAGTAGTGGTGGCTTGCACAAAGAGAGTTCAAAAGAGATATTAAAAAGGGGTCACATAGAAAACATGTTATAAAAGGAACGTCTGAAAGGATTTGTGGATAGATGGATGGAAAGAGGGGAAGCTTGGGGAAAATTAGATGAAATAAGTATTATGAAAATGTTGCAGTGGCCTTTATTGAGAAAGGGAAAATATAGAAGATTTGGAGGAGAAAAGAAGAAACTTAGGTTTGAACACACCCAAACTAGAAAGAGAGATAGATACAGATAGATAGATAGATAGATAGATAGATAGATAGATAGATAGAGTGACAGACAGACAGAGGGACAGACCGACAGATAGATAGAGAGACAGTCTGAAATATGAGCTCAGAGTTCAGGATAAAAATCCAGGATGGAGACAGAGATCAAGATTACAAGCTCGGAAACAAATTACTTTTGTTTGCTGAGACAAGATTTACTACAAAGCTAGCCTCAAATTCTTAATCCTCTTGACTCAGTCAATGAATATTTGAGGGTAAAGTAATATATGAAAATCAACTGAAAGCTGGGCGGTGGTGGTGCACGCCTTTAATCCCAGCACTTGGGAGGCAGAGGCAGGCGGATCTCTGTGAGTTCGAGATCAGCCTGGTCTACAAGAGCTAGTTCCAGGACAGGCTCCAAAACCACAGAGAAACCCTGTCTCGAAAAACCAAAAAAGAAAATCAACTGAAAAAAATCAGGAAGGAACGGAGGTGAAGGAAGCTGTATAAATAGAAGGGGATGCTGTCATGGAAAGAGGAGCCAACCTCAAGGACCAAGTAATCAACAGAGCAAATGAATCAGAAAAGTCAAACGAAGCATAAAGTCAGCAATTTCCTGAAACAAGAGTGCCATGATTTGAAGATCCCCTTCCAAAACTAATCTTGAAATTAAATGGGCACTGAAACATGTCTCATGAGCAGATTAATGTCGATATTATGGCTTACAGTGAGAATGAGCTCACTCCTCATAAAAAGATGAGTTCTGCTAGATGTTTGTTTTTATTAAAAAGTTGGTGAGTAAATGTCAACAGCCTGAAAAACACCAAAGCCATATATTTGTAAAATCTGTGGTGACAAATACATGCTTTTTGTCCCTCCACTCAGCATATATGTATATATACACACACACACACACACACACACACACACACACACACACACACACACATATATATTGTGTTTCTGCTATGAGCCAGAAATACCATACTCATTTCTGAGGCAGAAGAGAAGACAAAACAAGTGCACAGCTAAAACCACAGGGCAAATATTTATGAGTGCTATGAAGAAATCCCGACTTTAAAATACAACGTCTTGGCCCCAAGTCTTCAAGGATGAAGTTCTTTACTGAAATAATGAAAAGTCAGTTATACCAAGTCCTAGAGCTAACTGTTCATACATAGGAAAGGGATGTTCCAGAAAAGAACTTGGAAGAAATGAGGCCACAGAGACTTCGGGGAGGGGATTAAGTACAGTCAGATACAACAAGGGCCACAGCAATGAAGACTAAGAACATCTCTGAAATGGTCTAACAACAAGAGGCAAGGCTGGGCTGGAAGCAAAGACAGGGGAACCAAGTGAGGACATTAAGCTTCATGAAGAGCCCCATCTGCATCTCTGTTATCACAGTGAGTTGATAGAATTCCTAGGGAAGGAATCCTTTTACTCTAAACTGTGAGAAGGAACAATGAAAGTTAAACTTAGGAGTCCCAGAAGACATAAAATTATTATTTTAGAAAATGATTCATGCCTAAGTATATACTTGAGATATATATGGTTTAATGGAAGGCTTACTTTATCAATATCTTCCTCTTCCTCGTCTTCTTCCTCCTCTTCTGAAAAATCAAGAAGTTTCTTGGCTAACAACGGATGCCACTGAAGACACTTCCGTTTTGGTCGTTTTCCAGCCCCTTCTCCTTCTGATGAATGTTCTTTATTTCTATTACTGCCTTTCATCACTGTGACCTGGGGCAGGAGTGCAAAAGATGGAGAGAATGTGAATATGAACCAAAGTCAGTTTGATTAAAATTACTTAATTTTGTCCAGTTAGCTCTCATTGGGTTATAATTTTAATTTCTAAATTATGTATCAGCTTAGGCACTTACTGGATTCAGTGAGAATCATAAGTACATAATCATGCATTCATTTTAATGGGCTAAATTGGGCTAAAAATTTTGCCTTAATAGTCTACTTTCCACTCCATAACTTCAAAACTTAAAACCTAAATAAGCTATTAGGTGATTGCCAGTTACATTAACCTGTTCATATTTATTCAGAATAGAGTCTCCCACACTCCTAACACAAGACTTGATGAAAGATGGCATTTGGGAGAGCAGAGGGATTCTGAGAGGGGTCCTCTACACATTCTGTCATGACTATTACTTTTCAAGTGAATTTTACATTCTATACTAAGATAAATATGTACTTGCAATATTAAATAAGTGTTTTCTAAGAGTCACTTGATACTTGGTTTAGGTTTAAAATAAAACTATTTTATACAATAAAATACATTTTTCAAAACCTGTGCAGTTTCCTAGCATTTGGTGCATGAACACACTGTGGGTCACAAAGCAGAGTGATCCCTGTCACCTGTCTACAATCAAATAAAACAAGCGCATGCTTTTTTCCCCATCTCTCTAGCATACATGCAGCCTGATTTAAAAAGGAAAAAATTATATCTTTACAATTTTTAAATGCATAATTGGCTTAAATAATTAAGAGAGAATCAGGTTATAATTATGACACACTATCCTTTAGATCCTCAATTCTCCATTATTTTTTAATGACTTGAAAAAAGTTGATAAAAGTATTGTAGGTTGTAACAGCATGTATGTCATTTTGCAACAGGACCAACCCTAGAACCTAAAAGTTAACTAAGTACTTTCTTATATGCTCTCATTTTTTTCTGATTTATAATTTCTCACTCATTTTATATAAAATACATATTACTATTCATATATATTCATGTAAAACTCAGGCACTATAGGGAAATGCTTTGATAAACATTAAGTGGTTCGGGGACACAGGCTCACAATTATGAACAAACACACTTCCTCAACTCGCTCCATGGATATTCCAGCTAATCCAATGAATGCAATATAATGCCACTGAACTTCAGACACCATGTTGAAACAGTCTTGGGTCCATGCACATAAAGCATCAAGATCCCATCCTGTTCTCAGGTCTTGTAAATAACACAGCACGGGCAAACTCATCCATCTTCTGTATTTCTGGATTTTGAATCACACTTAGGCTTTCCTTACTTTAAAGCCAAAAGCTACCCACTAGTGTTTTCTCTTAGAACTTGTATGACTTCATCTTAGACACTGAAACACTTTAATAAAAGTAGTAAAGTAGGGATCTAGTTTACTCAATTATTGTAAATAGTTAGCCAACTGTACCAGTACCATTTCTTAAAGAATCTAGATTTCTCCTCACTTCCCAAGAATGACACTTTTACCTATACTAAATTTCCATACAGACACAAGCCCATTTTGCTATTCTGTTGATCACTGTCTCTCTCTAACTTCTTATGAATACCTTAACCAATTATAATAGTCTTAGGAACTACATCATTCAGCACCCTTTAAATTCTCGTATTTGTGTATGTGGTGGGGGTAGTGAGAGACAGCTTGTAGGGGTTGGTTCTTCCTTCCACCATACAGACTCTAGGAATCAACTCAGATCATTAGGCTTACGTGTAAGAAAGAGCCTTTACCCACCGAGCCATCTCCATGGTTCCAAAGTTGTATATATTATGCCCTTTCTATGAGATTAACATATCTTGTTCAATCTGATAAAAATGGTGTAACAAAATATGAGTACAATGCAGTTTATTTAACCAGCTCACTGCTGATGGACAGTGAAATAAGTCTTTCATTGAAGATAGCAATAAAAAATGTATTTTAATAAAATAAAAATTTTTATTTTGATAAAAAAAAACCTTCATAAAGTATGCATCCGTCTACCACTAAGCCAAAAACAAAGCAAGCTGAAGAAAGTGAGAGAACTGGCAGGGGGAAGGGAGAGAGGAAAGAAGGAGTAGGAAAGAAAAGAGAAAGTGAAAGGGAGGGAGAGGAGGAGGAGGCAACACAGTGTCCCTGTGGCTTTTGTAGTAAGAACTTCTGCTGAATGAAGTAATTGTATGACTTGTGTGGCTGCTTTAGGAACACAAGCAGTTATTGAAAACTCAACTAGAACAAGTTATCTGGCATACTCTTAATGAAAAAAATTAGATTTCTTGTGAATTGATAGGCCATTTAACAACTCCAATTTTATCTACAAATAAAGCTTGGCACAGGAGCCCAATTTCCAAAAAGACCATTGCCATACAGAAAGTAAAGAAAATGGTTGCTTCTGCGGTTTATTAATCATTCAGAATAAGCTGTCTGAGTGGTAATTAAACCCATATTTGGGACCCAATATTTTATGAGATAACACATAATTTAATAGTAAAAGAAATCAATGGGAAACTATACAGTTAGGCATTTAATCAATTGGAGAAAGCAAAGTATTGTCAGTGCCTTTAGAAAAATGAATTTAGTACCCAGACTTGTGAATTACATTATACTATTAGTTTTACATATAAGCATTTATTGTACATACAAACATATGTTCCAGTATCCTTCACAGATTCTAAAATCCTACGCAGCCCAAATCTCTCATAAAATAGTATAGTATTTTACACAAGCACACTGTTTTATGTGGATCTTAAATATTCCCAAAAGCTCAGTATTGTGAAGGTCTGACCCCAGCTCATGGTACCGTGGGGAGGTGGAACTTTACAGGCTGGTAGAAAAAGATAATCTTTGAAAGAATGCTCTTGAAGGGGATGTGGGGACCCTACCCCTTCATCTTTCTTTGCTTCCTGACTGCAGTAGGGTGAGCAGTGTCTTCTGCCCCCTACCACTGTGTACTGTACCACCACTACGGGCACAAAGTAATGAGGTCAGTGATCACAGCCTGAGCATGACCAAATGATCTTTCCATCTTCTAACTTGATCTTATTTTGCCAGTGACATAGAGCTGAGTAACATACAGAAGTATCTTTCCCCATCTTTCAGTCATATCTAGGTTATTTATAATGTTAACGCGATGTAAATACTGTGTGAATCATTGCTCTACCATACATTTTGGGGATTAATGACAAGGAGAAGCCTGTACAAGATAAGCACAGATGTGAGTTTTGTTTTTTTTTTCCTTTAATATTTGTGAGGCTGATTGAATCAAACAGAGGTCTATTATATATCTGTGTATATATAAGTCCAATATTCATAGATAAAATAGAATATTAAGAATCAAATTAATGGCTAGTATAGGTAGTTTAAAGATCACCTTCATTCTCATCCTGCATTACCCGTTCTCACTCTTTTTTATATAGTACTCATATGACTTTGGCTACTGTACCTTCTTTTAAAAGATTTGTTAAATTTTATGTATATGAATGAGTGCTCCATTGGCATGTATGCTTTTATGCCATAGGAGGGCATCAGATCCCACTATAGAGTCACCATCTGGTTGCTGAGAATTAAACTCAAGACCTCTGGAAGAGTAGCCAGTGCTGAACCACTGAACCATCTCTCCAGTCCCCACTGTACCTTTTTTTGATAACTTCAAAATTAATTCTATTCATACAGAAACACACATAATGAATTTATATTGGCCATTTCACCACATTTTTCTGTGAATTATATTAATTTAAACACACCCCCTCTACTGTCGAGTCTTTTCATAATGGTTCAGGACATTGTCGTCTGTTTGTGTGTCTCCTGTCATACCAAAGTACTGAAGTCAGTTAGGTGTAAGCATCAACAGCTGTACAAACCCCAGTACTTAACTGTGGCAGTGATCCACTGTTTTTATACACTATGGTGACTTCACAATAACCACCACCTCTTCTATTTCTCTGAATTCCGATATCCTTCTTCTGAGTGGGAAAGGGGAATGAAAACTGTCCAACTCTGACACACTGACCAAGGTGGCCTGTGGTGGGTGAAAACTAACAGCCACCTGGAGTGGAGGAAAATAGGGCCAGCAACCCCAGCACAATGTCAGAAACAAAGCAGGACATTTAATTTCGGCACTCATGAGAGATGAAAATAAGAAAAAGTGAACTTCAGGTAGTACATCTCAGATGGAAGAATCAGGAAAGTGTAATCTAAAGGTGTAAAACACCTCCAACTGTGAACTGGACACTTCAATAATTTACAGTTATAATAACTATCTAATAAAACAAGCTAGATTTTAATTTCCTATCATCTATTTTCAAACCACAAAAAGAAGGTAAGACCATAGGGGATAATGATGATCTTGACTGTAATTCTCAAAAGCAGTAAGAAATAAAGAGAAGAATCAAAAGAAGTAAGAAAGACAAAGGCAAAGAAGACAGAAGTCTGAGATGCTACCACTGATCTTTAACAAGAAGGTGGAAATTTTATTAATTTTGACAGTAAGAGAATAGCAATTTTATCTATCTATCTATCTATCTATCTATCTATCTATCTATCTATCTATCTGGCAGCTATTTCTCAAATGAGAACAGTTCAGCTGGCAATCTATATGGAATAAATGAAGCGACCAAAAACTTTCATTCAAACAGGGGTTATTCTATCCTCTATGACTGTAAGACAATCAATGGTAGATTACTTGATCAATGGGCTCAGTACTTGAAAGACTAAATGAGAACAAAATGTTGCTGCTGAGGCTGCCAAGTGAATGAAGACCTCTATGCAAAACACGGAATATTTATTTAATATTACAAAAAGCAATGTCACCAGTGTATTTTCTATGGGTGTACTCACTGTACTGAATATTTTAAAAATATTTTCTTACTTTCACTTATGTGTATATGTGTAGATGGGTAGGTATGTGTATTTGCGTGAGTATAGGTGCCCATAGAAGCCAGAAGAGAATACTGGATTGCCTGGAGCTGAAGTTGTAGGTGAGGTGCTGGGAACCAAACTTAA